CAGCAGATGCAAGCTTAATTCTTCTTGAGAAGCCCAATTGTTCTTGGGTGGGTTTCTATTGCTGCTACCATCACCTGTGGACATCAGACTACATCTCCTTCAGGCTTCCAACATAGATTCTCACCAGTAACTCTCCAGGGAACTTCCAGGCCTTCATCCTCAAAATAGGGCTCCATTGTTGGTCCCTTTTGCTCTGAGGCTTCTAGCTTCTTGGTTTATCTGGCTCTCCAGCCTGCAGACGGGACTGTCCAGCTTCTGAATGTTTAAGTCAAGCTAATAAATACCATATTATAACTAGACACACACAAATATATATATATATATCTTGTTGGTTCTGTCCCTCTAGTGAATCCTAACTAATATAGCTGGGCAGAGATGGAGGTGCCATTGTACTCCAAAGTAGGCTGTCTTGGGCTCTGAGCTCCCAGCCCAAGAATTTCTCAGACTCCTGACATATTTTCAATAGATTTGGAGCTTCCTTAGTAAGGAGTGATCAGAAGAACTATCTTCCCACTTCCCATTCCCATCCTCTCTCTGGATCAGGCTCTTTGTGCTGGCATTGAACACAACAATTTATTTTATTAATGTATACATGAGGGGAAGGCATATAATTTCTGCAAGTCAGTGGAAGAAACCTCTACGGGCACTTTCAYCTCACCTCTGTCTTTGCCAGCAAGATTGAGCTGGGTTGGAACGGGAAGTAGCAAGATGATGTCTGGGCACTGAGGTGGTGGGGATTTGGGCTGGCTGGAGTGGGAGGAGGTCTGATCTTTCACTGGTAGCAGCTGCTCCAGTTCTGCCACTCAGGAATTATCCATCATGTTCAGTCCTATTCCTGATTTTTATCTTTRGAGATGAAGACCAACCGGCACAGGCCTGTTGGAGGACTGAGGGCTTTGGAYTCCTGGAGATCATGAGCCCTCTAAAACACTCACCCCCCAAGTTGCTCTGCTTGGGGGAGTGTTCTGGATGAGAATGCAGAGGAGTGCCACTGCTGAGGCAATTGGGATGTGAACTGGGGCAGCACCAATGACATCTAGAAGTCATGGTCCTGTATTTGGGGAGGCCTTGGTGGTGCTAATRGGAGGTATTTATCAGACCAGGATTTCTATATGAGGAAATGAAACTTTGGGTTAGTTCTGTGACATTATATACATTGTGGGAAGGACAAATAATTTCCTGGTAGTAAGAGGTGAGAAAGGAAAAAAAAAAAATGGTAGAGAGATCCAATCTGATTCTGGAAGAAAAAAAAGAAGATGTCTCTTAGATTTTCTTTTATAATGGCCTCCATAATGTTAAAATTAATTAACTCATCATCACCATTCCTACCTARTGGGTCAGGAGGTGCTTAGATGATTCACATCCACAATCACCAGACATTCCTTTTACCTGTATAACATTCATCTTCCTTCAGCCTTACCAACTCATATATTTGATATGGGTCATTTAAGAGCAGCCAAGATGGCTGGYTGGAGACAGTATGGGATAGTGGTTAAAGAAACTGTGTGCAGCAGGGCACAGCAGTGCACACTTGGAATCCTAGCAACTGAGAGGCTGAGGTGGGAGGGTTGCAAGTTCAAAGCCAGCCTCAGCAACTGAGCAAAGACTCTAAATAACTTAGCAAGACCCTGTCTCAAAATAAAAAAAAAAAATAAAAATAAAAAGGGCTGGGGATGTGGCTCCGTGGTTAAGCACTCCTGGGTTCAATAAAAAAAAAAAAAAAGAAGCTATGTGCCCTTGGATAAATTACTTAACCTCTCTAAGTTTTGCTTTCCCTTATTTGAAAAAAAAAAAAAGGGAATAACAATGCCTTGAGGACTGAGGTAATTGTGCAAAGTTTTTAGGACACCAAAAGTAAGTGTGTCTTGGTTCAATCCATGCCAGGCTCAGCAGCAGTAGCAACACAATATCATCATCATCATCATCATCATCATCATCATCATCATTGTCACCACCACCATCATTGAAGCTACCCTCTCTACCAAGACTTAGTTATCCTCAAAATCTTACAAAATTGGTTATTTAAGCTCTAGAGTTCAACTCTTATAAAGATCTGCACCCTGGGGCTCAGTGACCAACCCATTGTAAAAGTACATCCAAAGGAAGGATAATGAGATTATAGTGACTTTGGCAGAACAATGGAAGAATTTTTCAGGAAGGACAGACTTTAAGTTTGTGGCAGGGTGATAAAGAGGAGGAAACACTGGGCGATTTGTTCAGAGTCTGTCACTCACATGAGGTTGGGCAAATCATGTAATATTCTCCACCTTGATTTTCTTCATCTGCAAATTGGGGATCAGGTAACAACTGCTGCTTTGTCAACCTCACAGCACTGAACAGAGGATTCCTGAGCTGTGGTATGTAAACTTGTTACGTGGAAGGCCTATTATTACTACACTCAAGAAAACCCCTAATGGACTCTCTACCGCCCTTTCCTTCTTTCATTCAACCATCATTTACTATGCAAAAGCCCCTTTCTCAAGCTTCATCCTGATCCATTTATAAATCAATGCAAACCCAAGATACCTGTTCAAAGGACAAATTCCTAGGGTCACGTTCCAGACCTCTGGTCAGAATTTTCAGGGGTCTGGCTTGGAAACTCTAGGTATAACAAAGTTCCCCACATGATTCTGGTCCTGTGGGATGTTTGGAAAAGAACAGACCCAGTTCTTTTGGCATGGTAAAAGGATTATCAGAGGAGCTTCATTCAAAAACAGATTCCTGGGCCTGTTACTCAGGACCTACATATTCAGAATTTCGAGGAAGGCCCAGTGTTATGCAATTTTACAAATACTGAAGGTGATGCCTGTGGGCTACTATTTACTCACAGGCTCCCCCTGCAGTGTGAGCTACTGGTCACCAGGGGGCCAAGTCCGAGTTAGGTGACATTGTGGTTTAGGCTACAGAGGGAGGTGACTCAAATGCATGGCCTTCTTCTATAGACAGCCAAAAGCAGCACATCCCTCTTCTCCAGGCAACACTATTTAGTAGAGTTCTCCTGTGTATATAGGACCTGCCTTCAGAATCCCTAAAGTTCTGACAAGGAACCTCTTACTACCTTCTCAGTCTTTTTACACAATGGAATCAAGCCGGTTCCATGGGCCTGTTTTTCTGTCTCCTGCCATTACAAGGTTAGCTTTTAGAGCAAGTGATGTAGGCTGGAGCCAGACTGGCACAGCTCTCGAAGGATGTGAAAATCAACTCCTCAAAGTCAGTCTGATTCTTTCTCTTTCTGGGACCTGAGTTTATGACTTTCTCGATGTTAGTCATAAGTGAAAGGCAAAGCAARGTGCACTTTGTGGTGAGGACAGTTCATTCTTAACAGAAATACACGACACAAGGAGCTCACATTTTGACAGAGGCAAGTCTTGATGGTTTATTTGCCTGTATGTCTGTATCAATCCATCTGCCCTCCTACCTACTCAACATTTCAGAAAGAGTGAGAATATACCTGCTAAGATACCAACATATTCTGGAAATATGAATAGCCTACCTAGTTCCTTTCACATCCTTTTGGGCCAGAGATCAGGCAGTGGCTGTATGCTTCTTGTTCCTGTATATGGGGGTTCCTCATAGCACCTGTATGGCTCCTGCAAGGCCTTGGATCTAGTCGGGCTGGAGTGGCAACCACCAGAAGGTCCTTCAGAGAATAGTCAGAGCTGTGAGGGTTCTGCAAGAGGAGGARGGAGGGCACATCCATCTGCATCTTCTCACCAGGGCTGTGGCTAAAGGAGAAGCCCTTCCTTGGCAGGAAGGATTTTTCTGGAAAGGCAAAGTCATTGGCATCATCAGTCTGTGCTGCTGTATTTGGCACTAATTCCTGGCAAAATGCACCTCCAACTAGGGTCTTGTGGCCCCAAACTGACTGAACCAGAGTCACTTGTTGCTCCTCTCCTCCAAATTGTTCCTCTTCCCTATAATTGGTACAAACTCATCTGAACAAGAATCAGGAAGTGTCAAAGAGGGTCCTCAGACTCAACATTCTATTCGATCCTTTGTCTTCTTAGGCGAGAGATTCCCTAAGAGTACCAACAAATGGATTTCCCTGAGGGCAGAGTCTAAGAACCCTTCCTCATGGCTGGGGATCCCCCCAAATTAGACTTGGTTCCRTTTGTTTCTTTCTCCCCTAAGGCTACAGTTTGGATGTTGAGCGTCCCCAAAGGCCCATGTGTTAAAGGCTTGGTCCCCAGGGTGCTATTGGGAGGTGGTAGAGTCTATAGGAGGTAGGGACTAGTGGAAGAACCTTAGTCACTGAGAGCGTGCCCTTGAAGGGAACTGTACAACTTTAACCCCTTCTTCTTCCTCYTTTTGCATTCTAGCCACAAGGTGACCAGTTTTGCTCCACCACATGCCCCCCACCATTGTCATCCAATGCCCATACCCAGAAGTCTAAAAGTAATGTGTCCCCCGATCATGGACTGGAACCTTTAAAAATAAAACTTTTCYCTTTATAAGTCAGTGATTTCAGGTATTTTGTTATAGTAAAGGAAAGCTGATTAACATGCCTAAGCTCCTGACATACCCCTGCATACATTGGCACTCACGTGACATGTCACTCAGCACCTGCTTCGGGCTGCAGTAAGCTGGGAACAAGGAGAGCTTCCCTCTTAACCGAAGCTTTGCCAATAGCTCTGACACCAGATGCTTCTCCTTCGTGTCATTCTTTAGCAAAGCCCAGCTTGGGTTCAAATTGTTCGAGAAGCTCCAGGATTTTGTAGGCACAGAAGGTTTTGATATGTTCTCCTGGATGAGCTTCTGGGGAATCTGCTGCTGCTTATATTTAAAGGATACTATCCTGACAATTTCTGGGCTGCTGCATTCAGAGCTGGTGGTCAGTGTCAGGCTTGGTAGCAACTCTGGAGAGGTTGAGTCCCAGGTGGTAGATTCAGGGGTAGTTTCTACTGAGGTTAAGGGCTGAAAGAGAAAACAGTCTAAATTGAAATTGTAGAAAGCAAAGGCCTCCTTCTTCTGCTATTCTTGAATGAAACAAACAGTAATGGTTAAAATAGTAAATTAAGAGCGGGATTCAGCCTCAACAAGAAAGATTTAGGTTAGAAGAGTTTCCTTGCCACAATTGGTTAAACACTAGGGCAAAAGATAAGATGATGGGGAAAATATACAGCTTCCTGTAGAGGTCCTTAAACATGAGAAATTGTAAATACTAGAGATTGCTGCTAGGCTTAAACACTAAATAAGTTAATAGATAGCTCTTTAAAAATTATGTACACAATGGGGCTGAGGCTATAGCTCAGTGGTAAAGTGTTTGCCTTGTATGTGTGAGGCACTGGGTTCAATCCTCAACACCACAAAAAAATAAATAAATAAGATATTGTATATTCATCTACAACTAAATAAATATTTTTAAAAATTATGTGCACCAATGTTCCCAATAGCATTTTCCACCAAAAGGTGGAAACAGTTAAAATGTCTACCAACAACAGGTGAGTGCATAAATAAAACATATACATAGAATAAAATCTTCTTCAGTCTTAAAGAGAATTCTGATATATGCCACAATCTCAATGAACCTTGAAAATATCATGGAAAGTGAAATAATTTAGACATAAAAGTACAGATATCATATGATTCCACTTATGTAAGGTAGCTAGAGTAGTCATATTCGTGGAGACAGAATAATAAAGTAGAGGTTATCAGGAGCTGGGGGGAAGGAAAGCATGGAGAGCTATATTTACTGGGGACAGAATTTCTGTTTAGGGTGATGAAAAAGTTCTAGAAATGGACAATAGTTACAGTTGCACAAATTAATGACTAACCTTAATGTCATGGAATTATACATTTATAGTGCTTAAAGTGGTAATTTTGTTTTGTTTTGTTTAGGGCATGCTAGGGATTGAACCCAGGGGAATTTTATCACTGAGGTATAACACCAGCTCTTATTATGTTTTATTTTAAGACAGGGTCTTACTAAGTTGCTAAGACTGGCCTCAAACTTTTGATCCTCCTGCTTCTGTCTCCCAAGGAGCTGAATTATAAGCATACACCACTGTATCTGGCTTAAAGTAGTAAATTTTATGTTATATATTTTTTATCAGAATTTTTTAAACAGAAGGATATTCACTTTAGTGTTATTTGTAGTGGGACAGAACCGAAGGCAACCTCCATGTCCTTACTTTGGAAAATTGATATGATGAAATGGATGGTTGGAAATTATTCTTGGGGGGAAAAGAACTGCACTTATTTTCAGCTTTGCAGCCTTTTGTCCAGGGACACCCTTAATCCACATGGCTTGGACAACAGAAAGCCACAGCCTTACAATATAGAGAAGCCAGAGGAATGGGGTAAATTGTGAAAAGGGGACATCTTTCATGTGCAATATGACTGCCTAATAAACTACACATACCGAAAGCAGGGGGGCAGGTGATGAAGAGGAAAGGCCTCCAGGGGACTCAACAAATAAGCAGCACTGGAGACTGAACTAATCAAAGAGATTTCAGTTGCTGCTGATCACAGTAGATTCAGAATTGGGATTAATGTACTATCCAAATAAAAATCACTCTTTAGAGGAACAAATAGAATCCAGAGACTCTACAATGAGTCACAGCATCACATATAATTTATAATGTCCAGCATCCAAATGAAACTGCCAGAAATGCAGAGAAACAGAAAAATATAACCCACTCTCAAGAGAAAAAGTAGTTAATAGAAATTGACTCTGAAATGACCCAAATTCAGTGGTTCATTAATATATAAAGACTTGAAAGGAGGCATGATAAATATTGTCAAGGAGTTAAAGGAACATATGCATGAGAATTTAAAAAAAAATTTGTGAATACAAGTATAGAAACCAAAACTATAAAAATTATTTGTATTATGTATAATTATAATGTTCCAATTAAAAAAATAATTTAGAGTGGTGGTGCACATCTGTAATCTCAGTTACTTGGGAGGCTGGGGCAGGAGAATCACAAGTTCAAGACCAGCTTGGGCAATTTAGGGAGACCCTATCTAAAATTAAAAAGGACTGGGGGTATAGTTCAATGTATCCCTGGGTTTAAATCCTCAGTACTGAGGGGAAATATATATGTATATCTCCAATCTGAAGAAATAAATAGAAGCAAGACTGAAGAAAAAATAAATAGAACCTAAGAAGTCTATGAGAGAATATTATATGATTTAATATACATGTTCTTTTTAAAAATATACATGTTCTTTTTTAAAATATACATGTTCCTAAAGGAGAAGAGAAACAAAATAAGGTAGAAAAAATATTTGAATAATAACCATAAACTTTTCAAATTTGGTAAAATACCTGAACTTACAAAACCAACAAGCTCAAGAATCCCAAATAGAATAGCTACAAATAAAAAACATGCCTAGACACATCAAAGACAAATTGTTAAAATTCACAGATAATGACATATTATATACAAGGCATTGCTATGAATACAGTTGATTTCTCATTTCATTTTATGTTTATTTTAATGTTTTTGCTACTGAGGACTGAACCCAGGTATATTTTACCACTGAGCTACATCCCCACCCCATTTTAAAAAAATATATATATTTTATTAGTTGTTGTTGGACCTTTATTTATTTTTATGTGGTGCTGAGAATCAAACCCAGTGCCTCACACATGCTAGGCAAGCACTCTACCACTGAGCCACAACCCCAGCCCCATCCCCAACCCTTTTCATTTTTAATTTTGAGACAGGGGTCTTGCCCAGGCTGATCTTGAACTTGACACCAGGTCCAGCTGAGTTCTCATGTTTAAATAAACCAGAAGATAATGAAACAACATCTTTCAAGTGCTGAAAGGAAAAAAAAATGAACCAAGAATTCAATTCTAGGTCCCCCCACCCCACAAATCCTTCAAAATGAAGTCTAAATAAAGACATTTTCAGATAAACAGAAATATAAAACTTTATCAGCAGGTAAATGTGCACCATAATAAATAATAAAGAGAGATTTTGCAGGCTAAAAAATAACTTTAAAATATACATCCTTTTAAATATTACAACCTTTTAAAGCAAGAATTTTAACACTGTACTGTGGGATTTATAATGTATGATAACCAAATATAGTTTTCTATATTTAAAATTAAGTACAACATTAGATACACATTTTGATAAGCCAAAGATGCTTATTAAAATCCCTAGAACAACCACTGAAAAAAGGCAAAAAGTTATAGCTAAAAGGGCAATCTAGAGTTGAGATTTATAAATATCTAATTTCAATTTAACCCAAAAGAAGGTAGAAAAGAAAGGATGCAGGGGAAAAACAAAAACAAAAAAGAAATTAATAGAAAACCAATAACAAAATTTCAGCCCTAACCATAATCATATTAATGATATTAAATGAAAATGGAATTAAAATTCTAATTAAAAGGTAGAGCATGGGTCTGGAGTTGTGGCTCAGCGGTAGAGAGTTCACCCAGCATGAGCAAGGCCCTGGGTTTGATCCCCAGCACCACATAAGAAAAATAAATAAATAAAATAAAGATATAAAAATAAAAGATAGAGCTTGTTACACAGAAAGCAAGACTTACTTATACCTGTCTAAAGAGAGAGCCTTTAAATACTCAGTAACTGCAGAATACACTTTTTTTTTTTTTTTAGTTCACATAGAACATTCACTAAAACAAATTGCTGGGGCTGGGGATGTGGCTCAAGCGGTAGCGCGCTCCCCTGGCATGCATGCAGCCCAGGTTTGATCCTCAGCACCACATACAAACAAAGATGTTGTGCCCACAGAAAACTAAAAAATAATAAATAAATAAATATTAAAAAATTCTCTCTCTGTCTCTCTCTCTCTCTCTTAAAAAAAAAAAATGCTGGACCATAAATCGAGGCATGTGTGTGTGTGTGTGTGTGTGAGATGCTAGGGATAAGACTCAGGCCTCACATATGCTAAGCAAGTGCTCTACTATTGAGCTACACTCTAAGCCCTATATTTTTCTTTCCAAAATTTGGCCTTGGGATGGAGTTCAGTGGTACAGTGCTTACCTACCATGTCTGAGGCCCTGGGTTCAATCCCAGCACCACATTTAAAAACAAAAAACAAAACAAAAACACCACCGGAGGGGTTTCAAGATGGCCGGCAAGAGGGAGGCTGCATTCTGTGTCACTCTGTGACCTGGGATTCAAGTAGTGGGAATATCGTTTCTCTGTGAGTTATTAGAGAAACCCCAACAGCTGCTCCCATGCAGGAACCACGGCTGCAATGCTGCACAGGAACTCCGGCCACTGCTCTCATGTGGACTCCCATCTACCAAAGTGGAGCTTCCCTCAGTTGCCTCCATCTTGGGACACTACAACCACCACCATAGTCCTCTACACACTCTAGCCTGCACCTGGGGACAACACACAGGGTCTGGAGACAGCCACCAGCCACAACATTGCAAGCCACAGAGCTACATCTCTGAACATGCCGCCTACTGCCACCACTTAGCCCCACCCAACCCGACACCCCAAAGCTAAAAGCAGCTGCCYCCATTCTGGGACATCTTCGTCACCATCTTTAGTTGGGGCAACCTCCAGCTTGGAACACTAGCTGGGGCTTAGAAGCAATATCAAGGAGAGATATTAGAACCCTGCAGGGACACTACAAGCCTAGAGGGCAAAAACTGTAATGCCTTGAATCCACAGKGCTAGAAGGGAAGACATATGAACAACATGAAAAAACAAGGGAAGAAGGTGCCCCAAACAAACCAAGATACAATGTTATTAGAATCCATGGCCAGCACAACAGAAGAAATGGCAAAGAAGMAGCTCAGGATGTACATAATTAAAATTCTCTGTGAATTAAAGGATTGTATAAGAGAGCAAATACAGGCAGCAAAATATCTTTTTGATAAAGAGCTACATACAAATACAGCAAGCAGAAGATTACTTCAATAAGGAGATAGAGGTTCTGAAAAAAACAAACAGAAATCCTTTAAATGAAAGAAACAATAA